TTTAGGTGGGAATACAGTGAACTCCTGATAATAAGACACATGGCTGTCAATATCCGAGCTGCTTCCCTTGCAAAATGTGAATAAGTACCCCGACTCCCAGACGGGAATAAAATGAATGAGTGGCCCCAGGACTGGCGGTTTGTAATGTATCGGTGCTTTTTGCAAGTTAGATTTGTATACACTCTGTGTGGGCTTGATTGTACTGATTCTCTATGAAATGAAAAAAAAACGTATCACTTTCTTTCAGAAGAGGGTTAACATTTATCAGAATGTAAACGAAACAAAAGCTTACAAAAAAACACAACTGGCATGTGTCACAGATAAGTTCACGAATTGTGCTAATCAATAACCACAGTTACTTTGGTTCATAGCAGAAAGTGGGTTACAGTAATTGTGCACATTTTTGTATGTCAGTGCAAAGAAAAACTAAGTTTAATTTGATGGGAAGTGAAATTCTGGTAATGTAAGAAGAGCAAATGGGTTGCTGAGATTCTACTGCGTAATAAATTCCATCAGCCCCTACTCGGTTCCTGTTTCAATTTTGTGAAACATCCCAGGCAAGAACAATGTATGGTCACTATGCACAGAAGTGGCAGTCGAGGACATGCTTTCATTGCAAAGTGATGATGGGAGACAATTGCCAAGTGGGGACAAGAGGAATTAAAGGGGGACCTGTTACTAGGCCGCTGTCATCTAACTCCATGTGCAGCAAAATAGTGCAATACTAGTTGAGAGAGGAAGTTCCAAAGTTTCAGGGCATAGTGGCTGAAGGTATACGGTCGCCGAATGTGGAGTGGAGGATTCGGGGGACACGGAGGAGGCCGGACCCAGTAGAGCGCAGGCACCAGGTGCTGCTGTGAGGAGAGAGAAGGTCGGAGAGATAGGGGGGTATCAAGGAATGGAGGGATTTAAACACTAGAGTGAGGAGCAGAATGCAGAATGTTTCCAAGGTGACAGGTTTGATCTCATACTTCCAGATACCCATTCTGCTGGCTTCCCAACTGCTTATTAAATGAGTCCAGGTCCTGGCCTCAACCACCCTTCCTTTTAACCTTTACCTGTATTAATTGCCCCGTGTGTGTAAAAAAATACTTCTCAATACTTTGTCCTAAACTTGCCCCTCACAACCCTGAACTTGTATCCTCTTGTCTTGCCGCTTTGCAGACTCAGTTTTCAATGTAGCTGTATTTCTTTAGTGCCATCTTAGTTCAACAGATACACAAGCTGTAGTTGGTACCTAAAAGTGGCTATTTTACCATGTTACATGTTTCAACTCCTTGGGTATAAACGTGATTGATGGGTGTCTGGTACAAGACACAACCAGCAGGGGGAGACTGGGAATGTTTATCAGGGAGTGGGTGGGGACAACCTCCTTCAAAGAGATGAATTTATACCATCAAACAACTAGAGGTGCAAAGATTTTCAAAAATACATTTAATTCAGTGATCAAACACTTTTTTTTTTAAAAAAAAGCTCCATGACTTACCATAACTCTATGATGAGGCTGATGAGAAGGATTGAGCTATAGTCAGGGTATTCTGTGTCACATGAACAAACTAAATGGGATCTGATGAATCTTGTTGATAAGATTGATGGGAATGATGAAATGGTGCCTGAATAAAGTGCAGTCAAAACAGGATTGAATATCAGTCAGTTTCTACAATTTACGCAATGACCTCGTCAACCAGCTGACTAACAATATCATAAACAAGTGAGTGATCCGAACTTCTAGTACTTCTGTATAATCCTAGTTATTTCACAATGAGTCGCGTCTCTGAGCTCTGAGCTGTATAATTCATCAAAAAAAAAACAGGAAAAGTGTAAATGATCCTCAAGTCACATTGCAGGGAAATTGTTCATTCATACGTGGAATATCACCACTGGAAAATATAATGAATTTGGAATATCTAGAGCCTGGAGTACCACAGTACAAGTGGTGGGAAGACATTAGTTATCATTAACAATTGTCCATAAGGTGAGTTCTCAATCTCAGCAATACTGTGGAGGAGGGAACATTTCTACCAAACAAGGGAAGGCAAGTCAGTTTATCCCCCCACAATTTCTACTCACAGTTGATGTAATTCTCTCTTCTGCTGGTTGATAAATATATTGATTTGGTGCTGCGAATGTGTAATGGAGTTTTCTTATAAGCCTGATCAAATGGCTGAAACTGATAAACTTAGTGTCTAATTGAATATTATCCTTGCCCCCCCCCCATAAATATATATGAGATTAATCCCTACACTTCTGGATTTGTGTACTGACATTTTGTTAAAGTGACAGCATTGTCTGAATTGAGTTAATTTAAAATTGCCCAATTTAGCTTAATCAAGATCTTCTCATTCTAGTTCTGATCTGTTCCCTAACTGACCTTAACTAGTGCCAATCTTTTGGGTAAGTTGGAAGAAATTTGGTTGAGTTTCTAACAATTCATGGATTGCTTCAGTGTCAAGGGTCAAATAATAATAATAATAATCCTTGCATTTGATATAGCGCTTTTCACAACTTCTAGACGTCTTAAAGCGCTTCACAGAATAGACTGAAAAGTGAATTGACTGTATATTTGTGGGCGAAATCTGGCAGCCAATTGCACACAGCAGTGTCCCACAAACAGTTGTGGTTTGAAATGACCAATTTATTGCTGTTTTGTTTTGAGGGATTATTATCAGGCGTGTGGAGTAAGGAAACTTGCCCAAGGTTTCACTCTGCCAGGAATCGAACCCAGGTCTCACTCATCAATCAAAAATCACTCAAACAGCTTCTACAGAACAATAAATTATTAAATGGATATAAAAGCTACATTAATATTTTTATTCAAGAAGCAAAATTGCACATCACTCAGGCCTAGTCAATCAATAATTCAACAGCTTTTATATTTGCAATCTGATTATGCAGGGTGCATTGTCATTTCTGTTATTGTAACAGAAAGATTGTCTCTATAGGATATCGCGTACACCCACGCTTATGTACACAAACACACTTAAGTTGCTTCTCATGCACGTTTCACACCATTAATGCAACTCAACACAAACCACTTACAGAAATATCTTTCAAGTTATTTGCACCGTTTCAGTCAGTATTCTGTGTTCACTTGTGAATAGACTTTCTGACTCTTAGGTATTGTTACAAAAAAAATGTGGTCACTCAATCCACGACTGTTTGTGGGAGACTGGTGTGCGCAATTGGCTGCTGTGTTTGCCCACAAAAGATACGGTGAATTCAGTTTTCAGTATGTTCTGTGGAGCGTTTTGAGACTTTTCAAAGATGTGACAAGGTGCTACATCAAATGCAAGGATTATTGTTATTATATTGCAGGATTTTAATTGTATTTCTTGATATCATAATCTGATGGTCACTACAGTCCACGGTTTAAAATTTGATCAGCATTTCTGACTCTGAAGGGGCATCTATGTAAACTTTACCCTTCACTACTGATTTTTGGTACAATGATTCCCATATTTAAAAAAACACTGGTAATCTGTGTATACAATGTAGACTGTTATTTCTAAGATAAGATCCCTTATTAAGTTTCAAGCAAAGCCATGTTCCTTTTACACCCAACAGAGCCAGGTAATTGGGGATAGAAGGGTCACAGCTGTATGTGAAACCAATTAAAACGCAGACTGCACTGTTGTATTCTTTCTCCTCACCTAGAGACTCCATTTCGCAAACAGGATGTGGTACATTGGGACATGCAACAGGCTCACCATTGTGCAGGTAACTCCAGCTGACTCAACGCCAAGGGAGGTGAAACACTTGGGTTAGGGAATCAATTCATCAACACAAAAATATATTGACTAAAACTGAGCAAATAAGTTGCCTGAAATTTACATTGTTTAGGTATACAATTCTACAAATTCATCAAATACAGTAAAATGATCTTAAACTCCTCTTGTCTGGTATGTTCCTAACACTGAACATTTTGTTCTTCTGATGACATGCTGTAGAGATGAGGCTCAATAATTCAATCAGTATAGTAGCCACCGTTCATTATCTTGTATACTCTTGAAAAATATTAAGAGTACAATCCTATCACAGGCCATGTTTAGTGGTGGCAGACTCAGGTCAAATGACTCACAGTTTGATTCAATTTGCATTAGGCTGCATTAAGTGGTCTGTAAAGGTTTTTTGGTCAGTTGAAATACAGACACCTATCACCATGCTTAAGAGATGTCGAGAAGACGTGAAAAGTGCTATAACAAATGCAAGGATTATTATTATTATTATATTATCACATCTTCGAGACATCTCAAAGTGCTTCATAGAATATACTGTAAAGTGAATTGACTGTATATTTTGTGGGGGAGAGTAAAGAGAGTTCCACATGTGTATGGATTCCACAAAGGACTGGATGCCGCGTTATTGCAATGTCACCTCATTTGCAGTGCATACCAATCCTAGAGTAACTCCAGAGTGCTGCAAATATCAGCATCAAAAGAGGAGCTTTTTTCCCCACCTCATATACTGTGTTATTTATGCACTGTAGATATTTAAACCAATGAAAGTAAACTTTGCAAATATATTTCAAACACACTCATTTTAACTCTATTAATGTTATGAGAATTTAAATCAGTGGTGTATGCTTTATGCGTTGATAATATTGCTCTTTATTCTAAATAGATTTACTTTGTGATCAACAGGATGTGGTAACAAAGGTTAGAAATGTTGGTGTGATGTTGAGCAATGGAAACCTGTAAAGTCTAACGTTCATTGCACATCAGTACAGTTAGCTGAGGAGGTGTTAAGGGTTTTACAATAAACTTCAATATTCTTGTCCTAAGGGAGGAGAGCTGAGCCAGGGATTGAAGTCTGATCATTGTCAAATCTACATCAGAACTTTGAGCTCATAGTCTAGTTGGGCTGATACTCCAATGCAGTGCAGGAGAGTTACATCATCTGAGGTGACCGTTCTTCATTCAAGATCTTAAATTGCAGTCCCACCTGCCTTTCGAGTGGACATTAAAGATGCCACACGACTGACCGGGAGTCGATCCCGGTGTGCTGGCCAGAGCAAAAAAAAGATAGTCATTCGCTGGCATGTTGACAGTCACTCCCAGGTGTGACCAGGTCTGTCAGCAACTGTGGTGCTGTGCCATAGCATGAGTCCAAGGCATAAAGGAGGCGAGGGGAGAAAACTTGAAAGAAAAAGACAAAAAGGTTTCGCCTAATGGGATTAGGTATGGACTATGTTAAATCACAGACCATTTTTTTTCACAACTGTGAAGTAATCCACAGGAATAATGATCATTTTCTTTGCCTCAAGAATCTAATGGTCCTGTTATTGTTTTGATCTTCATAAGAATTACACAGCGAATGATTAATTAAGTTATCAATGGTGTCGTGGGAAACAACACCCCCAAAAATAGGAAGGCATATAAAATGAACTACAGTATTACAGTACAGTAATGTATTTTAGAAAATAATAATAATTTAATATACATGCTTAAGGGAATTAGGAAGAATAAGGAGAATTTTTACATTAAACACTGAATTTTCTCCACTTGAATGATCAAATTCAAGTTATGTTTTTGGAACTTCACTTAAAAATAATGTGTAATTAAAGGTTGAATACATTGAAATAATTTTAGAGTAATAAAGGAAAAGTGATTTCAAACTTTTGTAGGATGTGTAACTTTCATTCTAATGATGTTCCACACAGACAGCACCAGAATATTTTTCACAGTGACAGATTTCTTTGTGTGGAAACAATTCCCTTTTGGTCAGGTTCATCTGATCTTTGCTTCCAGTTTGGAAGAATGATTGATAGTCTCGTGATGTAGCTTTCAGTTCCCTTGTAATCTGGAGTGATGATTTCTTCTGATGTAGAAGGACCAAGTAGCAAGGACCCGAATGGTACATGTGAACTGATATTGGTTAAGGCTAAAAATTTAACAGAAAGCAAGAGAGTACTTTTAAAATTTGAAACTATGAGAAAGATTGAATTTATGACATTGTTTGCTCAGTTACAAAGTAAATTTATAATTAGCTAGTTACTTTTGCTGCTTCAAATGAATACACCTTTGCCTTAGGGCAGTAGCTTTTAATGTTGTGTCTAAGTATTTTCAATTCCAAACAATCTTTCTCTGTGTTTCTCAGCGAAGTTGTTCTGGTATTCCTCAGTACATGAAATACCATTGATTACCAGTAATCCTGAAAAAAACTACAAGAAGTTACATGTCCAAATTTATAAATAATTAATAATCTGAAGTTATTGTTAAAGAAAAGTATTTCAGTATCAAATGTAAAAGTAGCTTGCACTGATAATGGTTTGATTTTCTCAGAGCTTTCGCAACCTTGTGGCATGTCAAAATGTCTAAAAAGAAACTATTTAGTGCTTGTGAGTCACTAATCCATACACAATGTGACTAAGGTATTAAACAAATTGTGGATTAACATTGCAAACAGTGAAGTAAAAGATTAAACTTTGAACAGTTAGGGAAGTTGATATCTTTCACAGCCTCTGCAGACTATATACAAAGATTATACTGTCTAGTTGTGGGGGGAGGGGCAGAAGTCATTCCTGGTCATGAAAAGATTCCTGCCACTATGATTTATGTGCTGCAAGAGTTAGGGTTGCGGAATATCAATGAAAAGATGTCATAATGACAACAACAGCAACTTGCATTTACATAGCATCCTTCATTCAGGGCAGCATCTCAGAGTGCTTAAAACCAGCATAACGGAGATGTGATTTTTTTGCTTGAATATCTTTGGGTTCATGGAGTATCTATACAATATTTCTGCCAGGATTTAGAGCGGGTAGATTGAAGTCCACATTCGATAGTAATATTTTGTCAGAAAGGTGCAGATGTGATTGGCTGAAGGATCTTTTCTTGTAATCCAAGCTTTATGTTTTCGAGAAACATTGCTGTGGGCAAATTGGCTGCCACAGTTGCCTACAAAATACAGTCAATGTACTTTACGGGAAATCCTGCGAAGTGCTTTGAAATCTCCTCCCAATGTGACAGGTATCAAATAATAATAATAATCCTCGCATTTGATTTGGCGCCTTACGTCATTGGGACACCTCAAGGTGATTCATGTGATATACTGTAAAGTGGATTGACTGTATGTTTTGCGGTCCAACCAGCAACCAGTTTTGTGCACAGCCATGTCCCACAAACAGGAATAGAGTTACCATTTTTTTCTTTCTGGGATTTGTTGCCCAGGATACCAGGAGAAACTTCTTTCTCATTTCAAATAGAGTCATGGGATCTTTAACGTCCACCTGAACAGGCAGACGGGACCTTGGATTCAACTGAACTGAAGGACGGTTGTAAATGGTATCATTATACTGAAATTAATTTTCTCGCTTACACCGCTTCTCACAAGTTGTGAAACGAGAAGAGTAATGTAACCTTGGAAAACTAATTATTGATAGCTAACCATCGATTGTAGATAACATACAAACAGCGTTGCTGCGGCATACAGTTGGTTCTTTGGTGATGAAAAGCACTATGGTGGCCATCGGCAAACCTCAGTACAGTGGCTTTAGACGATACTTTTAATGAGGCACACTGAGCGACATCAGCAATTTAAAGTGTGCAATGAACAGTTTCGCCTGATCGTTTACTTCAGTATGTGACATAATAATAATTCTAGCACTGGGTATAGACATCGCTGAACCATCCTAAAGCGTTTACCAGAAATTTACCGTGAGATGTGGTCACTGGGTGCTTGGAGGTAAACTTGTTTATTGAGATAGTTGAGTTGCTTGTCACCATATGCATTAGTCATGACTAGAGTTCAGTCAACTCCATTCTGTTTAGCCATTGCACCCTGACCAGGACTTGATTATTGAGGTTTAAAATGAAGCCGAGAGACAAGGCAACAAAAGGTATTCTGTTTCTGCGATAAACGTCTGGCAAGGAGCCATCGTTGCACTCACGCAACATATTCGCACGACAACAACAACTTGCATTTGTGTAGCGCCCTTCACACGGTGCTTAAAAGGCTTAAGATCACCCCATCAAATTGCAAGACACCGTTTCGTACGGCGCGATGAGTATCGGCCTATGTTTTGCTTTTCAAAAAAAAACTTTGGATGAAGGAGCTCAAGATCAAATGGGACGATTTGGCCAACAATTCAATGAAACCCCCCCCTCCCCCCCCCTCCCCCTCCCCTCCCCCACACACCACTGTGTGAGCTGAGCTGCTTCCACAACCCCCAACTAAAATGATTAAAGGGGGGGGCACCAAAAACCACAAGGACATCATTTCCCATCGCAGCAAAAGTCGGGACTCAGAGGCTTTGCAAAAAAAAAAGGCTTTCAAAAACGAACCCCATCGCATCGCGAACACCCGTTAATCATTTGAAACGGTCGGAACAAGTGACTTATTGGAGCCCGAAAGGAGGACTTGACTGGGTTTTTGCGATGTATTTCCGGGTGAGAGCAATATTGCTGATTGATTTTCCTGCTGTTGGCGTCTCTCTCGGTAAAGCCCAGAAGCTGCAGAGTGTGGAGTGTGGAGTGTGTGGTTCAGGTCTTGGCTCATTTTCTCTCTCTCTCCCTCTCTCTCTCTCTCTCCCCCCCTCTCCCTCTCTCTCTCTCTCTCTGCACAGAGACCCCCCCCCCCCCCCCCCCCCCCCACCCACCAAAACGACATCAGAGATTTTGCACCAGGACTTGAGTTGGTAAGAGAAAGATCACGAGCTTTTACAAGACCTCCATCATCTCTCCCCCTCTCTCTCTCCCCCTCTCTCTCCCCACGTTATTCAGTTCACCCCCTTTTGTTTGGCTGCAAAAAAAGAGACCCTTATTAAGCAAAGGCTTTTTTTTGTGTGTGTGGTGTGTGTGTGTGTGTGTGTGGTTTGAAACCCATTTGGAGCCATCGCCTTGTGGTGCTGTTTCATCATCTCGGATCGTACTAACGCGAAGCTTTTTTATATACATATATATATATATATATATATCATTTTTATTTTTTTTTATTTTTTATTTTTTGGAAAACCCAAGGTATTGTAACCCTCCTTTTCAGACGTGTTGTGTGAGAGGAGAGTCTCTCTCTCTCTCTCTCTCTCTCTTTCTCTCTCCCCTCTCCTCTCTCTCTCTCTCTCTGCTTTTGTGAATGAAATCCAGGCTATTTACATTTGTTGCAGAAAGAATGTCACTTGAGGGCAATTTGATTTCCTGTTAAGTTAAGATTCCCTCTTATCGTCCGGGTCAGTTGGGTGAAGATTGTATATTAGTATAGAGTGGGAGGTTGTTGTTGTTTTTCCAAAGTTGAAACTGACCAGTGTGTGTGTGTGTGTGTGTGTGACTGGTTGACTTTCAAGTCAATGCAACTCATTTTATACAAAAACCTTTTCCTGTTGTTGTTGTTTTTTAACACCCATCAACTGGGATGCCTTGGGAAAACAGCCCAATTGTTTAAGCTGTTCCTTGCGTCTTGAGAGGCACCCGGAGAGATGCCCTCTCGCATTACTTGTCTTGTAGCCATCTTAATGAAAACAAATGTCTTGTGTGATATTCGCCGCCTGTCCAGCAGCTTACTCGAACCTGCGCCAACAGAGCCAGAGTCTGGCTCCAACGTTGAGGCCACAGAGGGAACTAACTCTCTCTCTCCTTTGCTCTGACTAGTTGTTTGTTTAATTGGGTGCGGAGATGGGTGTGTTGAACACAATCCTATCATACCTGCAGGGCTGTTCTTCCACCTCTCTGGTTCCCATTGCCTTTTCAGTTCGGTTTCTTTAAAATAAGAAAAACACTATTTTAATCCTTGCCCTGACTAAATCGTGAATCAAAATAGGGATGGAAATTGTGCCAGCAATGCTGTCTTTATGCATACAGGTGGAAACAGTGCGTGGAAGTGCAGTATCTGGATTATTTACTATTTTATGTGAGCATATGTATCAATTGGGTGGTGGTCATTCGTTTCTACAGCCTATAATGTATTTCCAGTCACAATGCTGGAAGAGAAGCATTTCCACTGGCGGGCGGCCGGGCGGGTGGGTGGGTAACCCGAGGGCACCAATTTAAAATAGTTGTTAAAAGAAATGGAAGGGAGGTGCAGAGACATTTTTTTCACACAGCGACCTGTTCGGATCTGGAATTCATTGCCTGAAAGGGTGGTGGAAGCCGATTCGATAACAACTTTTAAGAGAAGTAGATAATTATTTGGGGAGGACAAGTTTTCAGAACTATGGGGGAGAGGGCGGGGAATGGGATTGATTTGG